TACAAAGCCAAGCAACGCAGCTGCATCCGCCTACATTCACACAAAATTATTCATGCAACAACCAATTTGACACCTCTATGACAATCCTATTATACATTCCTTGCCCAAATGTTGCACTCTTTTTATGGTTACCACTTTGCAAGCGTGCCTCGCTTAGCCGAAAATGAAACTTTATGTATTTATTCATATCAACACGGGTAACCTCAGACCGATTGCTTTACAAGGTGATCAAACTTTTGACTTTCAAATGCACCAGAATCGGGCACAAAGCCATCACAACCTGGTAATGCAATCCTTAACTTACTGGAAGTAAAGTTTCTTTTGCGTGAAGGAAATATTTAGGCGTTCCCTATTATTTCTGCCCCAATACTATCCCAATGCCATCCGAAGCTGACAAGGACCAACCTACTAGCTTCACATTTATCCACTATTCACTCCAAGAAAACACTAAAAACCACTGATTGTTTGCCAGCGCATTACTTCTTCTCGAAAACGGCAAACTCAATACCAAATAAGTCACCTGCTTCTTCCTCTGCATCGGACCCTGCTGGACTTCAACCAGTAATACATAAGCTTGTACCCGATTACCATGAGGAGGTCCTGCGCCAAGAATTCATACGCTCCTATATGGAAGGCAGCTTAAAAGCTGACTGGAATGTAGGGATTGTAATACCCTAAAATAATGGCTAGAATTGGCAAAATACTGCAAACCATCGGTTGACCCACCTGCCGTCTGTGGTCCCTATGACCATAGAAAGTATCGTTAAGCGTGCCATTTTAGAGGGTTGCCTATTCCGGGAGCCCAGAGAGCGATTCGAGAAGACGGATCGATTTGCAGGGAAACTTTTATTGGTTCAGCAAAAGATTGGCTGTTAGCTAGCTATAAATGAGCGACCCCGTGGACGCTCTAGCTAGGGGATCGATCAAGCACAGCACACAGAGCAGTCGCGCGTTGCAACCGAAGCGAGCGCCAAGCAAAAAATGGCGATGAGCAAGTAAAGCATTCGAACTCAGCAAGCAGTTCAACAAACCACACCGGTTGCCTAAGTGTACAATTAAAGAATTTTGGTTAGAATTTTACACAAGCAAACCGGGGAATCTCCAGACTGCTACATAGCCCTCTCCCAGAAGGGACTGTGTAAGCAGTCCTTCGATCTACGTGAGGACTGTCCGTCGCGGGCCAGCCTTCTGCGAGACCAGGTTGTGAAACCCGATGCAGCTGCTGGGGGAGAACCATGCAATCGGACCCTAGCGGGCTCCCACCCGTGTCCCCCCCACGGTGTCGAAACGGTTAAAAAACTGTTTGTAGGGAGGGGACAGTTACAAACGTTCACGTAGGCAGTTGAGCAGGAAGTTCGTTCCCACTCTGCCAGTTGACGTAACCAGGGATCCAGCGGAAAGTGAAACCGAGGAGGCAACCAATCGACGGGGAGTAGTATGGAAAGCAAAGAAAAAGCAGAATAATGCATCAGCAATACACCAAAAGAGGGGTGCCCAAAGCGACAAAACGTGCCAAGCTGTTTTGGTGTTTTCAAAAGGTTTTGCTCTTTTTTGGTAGTTTCAAAACGTTTTTGGTCTTTCTTTTGTGGATTTTCAAAAACGTTTAGTAAGAGCAGAAAATTTCTAAGGCACGTTCATACGTAAAATAGTAAGTGTTGATAAAGTCTGAAAAACGAAGTGTAGGATTGAGTTTCCTACCGCTTCGTTTGAGAGTAGGGCGGGTAGGAGTGCTGTCGGTTGTGTTCTGTCGGTTCTGCTGGAGCGGGCTGAATCGTCTGTGTTTGCGGGGCCGGCTGTGAAGGCACGGGCTGTTAAGGTGCATGTTGCACCGGCGAGACAGACCTGTCAAGGTAAGCTGGCTTGAGGCGCTCGACGTTGACCGTCTCAGTACTTAACATTGTAGTCAATGGTAAACGTTTTTGTCGCTTCTTACGTACGACCACGGTACGGACCAGAGTAAGGAGGCTGACGTGGTCCGGCGTACGCTGTCCGTGCGAACGACACGTGCGTGCAAGTAGTTAAGCGATTCGTCCACCTTGGTACGCAAGCACTGTGCTCTGGTTGCACAGGCTGAAGCTGTCGCATGTGATGAGATAGGCGAGCTGCGTAGTCGCCATAGTCGAAAGTTGTTGGCGCTTTTGGTGAGGACGAGTTCACCAGGTACGCGTTGTGCGCATCCAAAGACTACGCGACGATGGAGTGGCGTGCAAGTCCGCTTTAATCTGTGTTATCCTTACCTTACAAAACTACTTATAAAAACATCTCCACCTCTCTCCTCTTGTCTTTCTATCACTATCCCACTTTACATATCCACTCCAATTTCCCCTCTATTCTTCATAATTCCTAATTCCTTATTCGCCCCCAATGACATCCCCCAACCCCTCCTAGCTCATTTTCTCATTGACATCTCTCTTTAGATGAACTTAACATAATTTCCCTCCCCTTTCCCTTAATCTTCCTCCCCCTAAATCATCCTTTCACCTATCCCCTCTGATATCACCCACATACCCCCTCATCTATCCTCTTCACCATCTAACCACCTCCCTACAATATTCCCCATACACCTCTTCTCACTAATCCACCCTTCCCATCACATTCCCCCTCTATCCACTTACTTCCCCTTATCTACTTAGCCTCCTCCAGATCCCCATTCCCTTCCCCCTTACTCCCATCACCCATCCACATGTCTTTCTTCCCCCACTCTACCCTACACTATCCCCCCCCCCCCCCCCCCCCCCCCCCCCCCCCCCCCCCCCCCCCCCCCCCCCCCCCCCCCCCCCCCCCCCCCCCCCCCCCCCCCCCCCCCCCCCCCCCCCCCCCCCCCCCCCCCCCCCCCCCCCCCCCCCCCCCCCCCCCCCCCCCCCCCCCCCCCCCCCCCCCCCCCCCCCCCCCCCCCCCCCCCCCCCCCCCCCCCCCCCCCCCCCCCCCCCCCCCCCCCCACACACCCCCCACCCCCCCCCCCCCACCCCCCCCCCCCCCCCCCCCCCCCCCCCCCCCCCCCCCCCCCCCCCCCCCCCCCCCCCCCCCCCCCCCCCCCCCCCCCCCCCCCCCCCCCCCCCCCCCCCCCCCCCCCCCCCCCCCCCCCCCCCCCCCCCCCCCCCCCCCCCCCCCCCCCCCCCCCCCCCCCCCCCCCCCCCCCCCCCCCCCCCCCCCCCCCCCCCCCCCCCCCCCCCCCCCCCCCCCCCCCCCCCCCCCCCCCCCCCCCCCCCCCCCAGCAGGTACAACGTAGCCTTTGAAGTAGACAAAGGTCCGAAGATACGACCCACCCCCCCCCCCCCCCCCCCCCCCCACCCTGACTCCACAAAACGAGCGTCAGGGAGGCGGGAAGAAAAGGACGGCCAAGGGGGCTTGTTGGTGGGTCTGTAGACTGTGGCGCGCTGACACTCTAAGCATGCGCGTGCCCAAAGGCGGACATCGCGATTGACGTTGGGCCATATGAAGCGTTCCGTTACGAGCTTCTGCGAAGCACGTATGCCGGGATGAGACAGGTTGTGTAAAGCATTGAAAACTAGTCGACGCATTGAGGTAGGAACTACGGGTCGGGGAGAAGTTTGTGAGACGTCACAAAGAATGGTCCCCTCAGATGAAGCTAGTGGGACTTCACGTAGTTTTAACGAGGTGTTGCGTCGTAGCTTGTCTATGTCGGGATCAGCTTGTTGGGCAGCAGCCATAGCGGCTAGATCAATGTTGGTGCCAGGCGATAAGCTGATCTGCTGAATGCGTGAAAGCGCATCCGCGACGGGATTGAGAGCACCTGAGACATGTCGTACGTCTGTCGTAAACTGAGAAACGTAGTCTAGGTGTCTAGTTTCCCGCGGCGAATACTTGTCTGTTGCGCCATTGATTGCGTAGATCAATGGCTTGTGGTCGGTGAAGACTGTGAAATGTCGACCTTCGAGGTAGTGACGGAAATGTCGGATACCTAGGTAGATAGCTAACAGTTCCCTACCGAAGGTGCTGTAACGCGATTCGGCAGGTTGTAAGCGTTTCGAGAAGAAACCTAGAGGTATCCATCGATGGTCGATGAGTTGTTGAAGAACTGCACCGACGGCAGTGTCTGATGCGTCAGTTGTCAGAGAGAGTGATGCAGACGTGTCTGGATGGGCGAGAAGCGCTATGTTGGAGATAGCGTCTTTGAGCTTCTCGAAAGACAATTTAGCGTCGTCTGTAAAGTGAAAAGACCGTTGTTTACCGCGGAGCAAGTCAGTCATTGGTTGAACAATGCTCGCGCAGTTAGGAATAAAGCGTCTATAATAGTTGACCAGGCCAAGGAATCGGCGTAACTGCTTGAAGGAACTGGGAGCAGGATAGTCCTTCAGTGCCTGGATTTTGTCTGGCAGAGCTTCAATACCAGAGGCGGATATGCGGTGGCCAAGAAAGTCGATGGAACTTTGGCCAAGCTCGCATTTATCGGGGTTGACGGTAACCCCATGCTGCGTTAAGCGTTGGAAGAGAGCGTCGAGGTGATGAAGATGTTCTTCGTCAGAAGAGCTGGCGATGAGAATGTCATCTAGATAAGGATAAACGCCTTCGAGTCCTCGCGTTACCTCATGAATGAAACGCTGAAAAGTTTGGGCAGCGTTGCTGAGGCCGAAAGGCATTCTGAGGTACTCGAATAGGCCGAATGGCGTGATGACTGCTGTTTTAGCAATGTCGTCTGGCGCGACAGGTATCTGATGGTAGGCGCGAACTAAGTCGACTTTGCTAAAGATAGACTTGCCAGCTAGAGCTGAGGTCAAGTCGTGCATGTGCGGAATAGGGTACTTATCCGGGACGGTAACTTTGTTAAGTGCCCTGTAGTCACCACAGGGCGCCAGTCACCGGATTTCTTCGGCACCATGTGTAATGGTGATGCCCATGGACTTTTGGACGGGCGGATGATTCCCAGTTCGAGCATTTGCTCGAATTCCGCCTTAGCAGCTTTGAGCTTGTCCGGGGCTAGTCGGCGAGGGCGGGCCGAAACAGGTGGGCCCTTAGTGCAGATGTGATGCATGACGTTTGACGTCACAGGAGGCAAGTCGTTCAGGACGCGAACGAGTTTAGGGTGCTTGCTGAAAAGTTCTAGAAAAGGTTGTGAAGCTTGAGGTAGGACACGAATGGGAGTGATAGCAGCCACGTTGGCGCTAGTCCCGATAACACTGAGCTGTGTCCTAGAGTCGATAAGCTTCTTCCTTTTAGCGTCGACGATGAGGTCGAAGCGTTGAAGAAAGTCTATGCCTATGATGGCGAAAGGCACAGCAGCGATTATGAAAGGCCAGCGAAAGGTTCGCCGGAGGCCTAAATTGAGCGTTAGCAGCTTTTCGCCGAAAGTTGCGATTGGTGTACCATTGGCGGCACGCAGCTTGGTCGGCGATGGTGAGACGACCTCATCTGAGCTACGGGGTATAACGCTAACTTCGGCACCAGTGTCGACTAGAAACTCGGTGCCGGAAGTTAAATCCCTAACGCGGATGAGGCGACTTTGGTGTTGGCCAGTCGCGTCCGTCGCCGTTACGGACCGGCCGAGAGGTTTCCCTGCCTCTGGGCGAAGTTGCAATTCTTTAAACATTTATGAACTGCGGTACCGAAGCGCTGATGATACCAACAGCTAGCCTGCCTGCTGCTAGAATTAGAACGTTTGAAGGGCGATTTTGAGCGGCTATGACCATGACGGTTCATAGTAAGCTGTGGGACCTGGCGACTAAGTGTCGCAACTTGTGTTTGCAGGGCTTCTATAGTTGACTGTAAGCCAGTGATAGAAGTGCCCTGGGACGCGACGGCATTGATCTTGCTGGCGTCGGCTTGTGGCTGTGATCGTTCAATAACTCGATCCGCTAAGTCTGCTAGTTGAGTGAGCGAAACGGAGCTCACTGTAGCGAGAATCGCTTGCGTGTTTTCCGGTAGCCGTTGTAGCCATAGTTCGCGAAGTAAAGTCTCGTCCATGGTTGAGGAACCAAGGAGTTGCTGCATCTCTCGTAGCAGGGTTGAGGGCAGTTTGTCGCCCAGCTGCAGATCCCTGAAAAGCTGCTGCAGGCGAACTTTCTCAGAGGGCATAACACGCTTAATCGTGGCCTCCTTGAGAGCCTCATAGCGGTTTTCGGTCTGAGAAATGATGACGTCACGAACCTGCATTGATATCTCCTTGGGGAGATAGGACAGGAGCTTGCAATACTTCGCGTAGTCGGAAGTGATTCTGTGGTTGTAAAACTCAGCCTCAAGATGAGCGAACCACAAAACAGGATCCATGTCCCAAAAAGGTGGAACAGAGAGATACAACGCTAAGTAGAGACTCTACCTTATGGTCTACAGATTCCATGGCTTAAAAAATGACGCAAAAATAGGCTACCGTATGCAAAAATAAACCGGAAAATATGAAAAATAAATGGAACGAGCTCACCGGAGAAAAGTTCGAAATATCCGGCGTTGAGATTGTTCCGGATCGGGGTCACCAATTTAGAGGGTTGCCTATTCCGGGAGCCCAGAGAGCGATTCGAGAAGACGGATCGAGTTGCAGGGAAACTTTTATTGGTTCAGCAAAAGATTCCCTGTTAGCTAGCTATAAATGAACGACACCGTGGACGCTCTGGCTAGG